TAAGTAGGTGCTTTAGACCACTGAGCCATCTCACCCCCCCTCCCCGTTCTTTCCATTCCTTATCCCTGGGACCTCACCCGCCATTCTTCCCAACTCCATTCTTTCTTCACATCCATAGGACCTGTGAACTCGGAGCTGTTCCTACGACACATTCCTGGATGGCTGCGCCCACTTTTATGTCCCCTGGCTTGGCTGGTGCTCCGGACACCCAAAGGGGGTGCCCAGACACCGCTGTACTGTGCTCTACAAGAAGGCATTGAGCCCTTCAGTGGGAGATATTTTGCCAACTGCCATGTGGAAGAGGTACCCCCAGCTGCCCGAGATGACCGTGTAGCCCATCAGCTGTGGGAGGCCAGCATGAAGCTGGCAGGACTTGGGGCTGAGGAAGAGGATGAACCTGACGAAGAGCCCCCGCTGGAGGACCTAAGGACCCCATCTTCACTGAGCACTCCCTCCCCTGAGGAGACCACAGATTCTGAACCTTCCCCCCCTGGCCCTCAGAGATCAACAGACTTGTCTAAGGTGACTCACCGAATTCCGGTGAAAGTTGAGCCTGAGCCCCAAGTCTCCTAAGCCCCAGGCCAGGATGCTTTTCATGGCACTCCTTGACTCCCAGAAACAACAGCTGTATGCCAGGCTATGCCCTGGGCACTGAGGGGGTTGCCATATTTACCTCCATGGTTACTTTCTGGGGGCTCTGGGTGTGTCCTGGAAGGAAACATTTCTTCCTGAGAGGGACAGTGACGCCTGATTCAGGAGTGGAGGCTAATGTGCTTCCCGGGAATTTAAATTTCAGATTTCCAGGCCCTACCCTGGGTGGTTCAGATCGGATCTGGAGCTGAGCCAGGGAATTTGTGATTTGATGCATTGCCGACACTGAGAAGGACTTAAGCCCTTTGCAGCCATATAGACAGGTAGTTACCCCATTTTGGCCGGCTTATGATCCAAGCACTCTAGACACAGGCAGAAGGATCGCTGAGTTTAAAACCAGCCTGAACTCCATAGGGAGACCTTGACTCCAAAAAACATTACCCCATTTTACGGAGCTGGGATAAGGTCGGTAGGAAAAGATTCGCAAAAGGAGTAAACCAGTAAGAACAGGGACTGCAATTTGAGTCCTGGGGTCTGCCATCAGGACCTACTGCTGTGAGGTGGGTATCCCGGGGTAGAGCGGGGACAGTGGTTATCGAGGTGCCCCAAGGAACTAGGGAGACGCTCTCCACGGTGCTTTAGGGCTGGGTCCCTTAGGGTGGCGCCCCCAGTAATAAAACGAGTTGCCGCTTGAGCGCCTGCCTCTCTCAACATGCCGGCCCCGCCCTCCGCCGCCACACTTCCGGCGGGGCTGCGACCACGAAGGGGCGCTGGGGGTGGCGGGATAGGCTGGGCGCGGCCAGCTTTGCGGACGGGCTGCTGGTGTCTGTCCGTGCAGTGCGAGGGCTCTGCGTCCCGCCGGCGCCATGGGCAACTGCCACACGGTGGGGCCCAACGAGGCGCTGGTGGTTTCAGGTAAGGGAGCGGCAGGGGAGATGGGTCCTGGAGTGCCGGGGCGGGGGACAGAGAAAGGAAGGGATCGGAGGGCTTGGGGGCCGTAGTTGGGACATCGCGTGCTGGGCCTGGCCGCCAGCAGCCCGGCAGCCGCACCCGAGACCCTCCCCGCGAGACCCCATACACCCGGTTTCCAGCCTCTGCGCCGTCGGGCACCCACCACCGGCTCCTCCTCCCACTGCGTTTCTTCCTGTGTTTATTTCTTCCCTTCTCCCTAGCCACGGCCTCCCCTGTACAGTGTGCCACCGTGGGCTTGGGGGGTCACGCACAGGAGCCTTGGAATTCCGGGTGGGAGGGGACCTGTGGTTCCTTGGAACACAGTAGTTTGGTTGGTTTCCAGCGCCCGAGCAGGGGCCGGGGGCTGTGAGCCAGCTCTAGAGGTCAGGTGCCTGCATGGAGAGTTCAGAGACTTGGGTTGTTTCTCCTGCAGTCAGACCCGTTAGTTCCGAGCAAGCTAGGGCTTGCTGAGCTTACTGGCATTGCCCGCCCTGGAGATGTGGGTGCGGCCTCTACAGGTTGGGAAACCTGGCTCTGGCCTGTGCCACTCCTGATTGCAAAATGCTGCAGCCTCCTTAACGTCTGTCTAGGTGGGACTTGGGCACTGCAGCCCTTGGAGGGGGTGTGCATCTAGCTTTAAGACTGCTGTTTACAGTATATTTGAGGTGTTTTAGGAGGTAGCTTAAAGCCTTTGGAGCCGCCAGAATGTGCAGTCCCTGGCCTCCGGGAGCGGGGGAAGGGGCCTGTTGCCTGACAGCTTGGAAGCTTGCAGCTGTAGGGATCTCCAGCGACCGTGATTGGCGCTGATTTTCAGCGTGTGCCAAGCAAATAGAAGCCCTGAACCAGAAATTATAGCTTCCCACCCTTCGTGAGATTAGAGAAAGACATGGGGAAGCTCCACCCCATGACATAGACGTAGGCTCAGTGTGGGTCTCAAAATCAACCTCTCCACAATCCAAAACTCAGTTCCTCTGAAAGAAATAAAACACCCCATCGGCACACACCTCTAAAAACCGGAGATAGGCTTCGACAGAAAAGACTTGCAGAGAGCACCAAGGCCAACAGGATCCTGTATAAGATCCAGTCCTGTCTCCCAGCCTCTACCCTTAGAGAAACCAGAATTTACACCGCACTTTTTCTTGCAGGATTTCTTTCAGGAAGCCCAGACTGTGAATTGAGGGGACAAAAGCTTCCATTCTGTCCCTGTATAAAATCTTGTGAATATAGTATGAGATGGACCCCCGAGATGGGCCGCTCTTTATCTTCCATTTACTGGGAACCATTGACTAGTACCACCTTGGGAACTGTGTTAGGGCTGAAGAGAAATCTTGTTAACAACTGGGGATGCTAGAGTCAAAGGAGGGAGAGGAAAGGGAAGGATAATGCCTGGCATAATGGTACCTTGGGATCTGAGCCAATCAAGCAGAGATGCAGCTCTCTCTTGCATATGGTCTCCTGGGAGAGCCCAAGCAGCTGCTCCCCACTCTACCCACTTTGGTCTCTTTGTCCCTCTGGAGCTAAATCCAAAGGGATCTCATTCAGCCCAGTTTAAGGAGTATCTTTGTGTATATCATGTTTGTTTTTGGTTTTGGGTTGGGTTTTTTGTTGTTGTTGTTGTTGTTGTTGTTTTTTGTGGGTTTTTTTGTTTTGTTTTGTTTTGTTTTTTAAGACAAGGTCTCAATAAGTAGCTTAGGTTGGCCCTGAATTGTGTAGCCCAGGGTACCCTTGAACTTGCAGCAGTCCTCCTGCTTCAGCCTTCCTAGTGCTGGGATTGCAGGCTTGTGGCACCATGCTGAGCTACATTTATGAACATTTCAAGGAGAGCTCTTTAGGCTTTTCTGGTCTACTAACAGGATTTGTAGTTTGAAACAGGTTAAAACAGCTGGACATAGAGATAGATGCCTATAATACCAACACTCTGGGAGGCTGAGGCAGGAGGCTCATGTATAATAAAAAGGAAGGGGGATGTACTAGCTCAGTGCAAGGCCCTAAGTTCAATCACTAGTTTAAAAGAGTGCAGATGATCCTTCATTTCATGAGCATGATGATTGGATGTTCATGCCTTATGCATGAGATGTGCTGCCCTCAAACCTTGTTACGACGTGGGCACATTACCCTTCTGATGTTAAAAAAAAAAAAAAAAAAAATGGAGAATATAAAAAAAATTAAGAAGTGGAGAGGTATATGTATGGTCTTCCTTTCTAATAGGAAGAAGGTGGGAGAGGCACCAAAGGGAAGACAGAGCTCTGGGCTTTGTCTTTGGAGGAGCAATGAGGGTAAAGCAGAGGTTATCCCCAGGTATTTTGTGTTATTTCATCTTTTTTTATTTTTTATTTTTTTTTGCGGTACTGGGGATTGAACTCAAGGCCTTGCACTTGCCAGACAAGCACTCATTCTACTGAGCTATCTCCCTAACCCGTGTTATTTCATCTTGATTGAAGTCAGAGCAAGGAAAAACAAGCTGAGTTAGAAAAGGTGAGATAAAGCCAGGCATGGTGAAACACAGCACTCAGGAGGCTAAGGCAGGAGAATTGCTGTGAGTGTGAGGACAGGCTGAGCTGCATAGCAAGATCCTGTCTCAATTAAAAATATATAGGGCTGGTGAGATGGCTTAGTGGTCTAAAGCAGCTACTTAGAACAAGCTTAGCAAAGCACAGGGACCACGGTTCAATCCCCCAGCACCACATGCCAGCCAGCCC